AGAAGTAGTTTTTGTAGATTTTGACTTACATGCATACAATTGTGTACACATAATAAAGATTTTTATTCACCCTGAACACGCCAACCTACAGTGAAATAATGGCAGTGATGGGTTTATGCTGCTGGGTTGCCTTCCTTTTGCAGAGACAAAGTTATTGGGAAGATGGGAAGAGTTATTTTGAGGGGATCTTAAAGGAAGGCCTGTTAGAAGCTGCAAAAGAATTGGAAAAAGGGATGGATGTCCTTGTTTTGGTAGGACAACCTTAAACATCTAGTAGTTTAGATCAAAGCACATTTATGATGCCAGTATTGAATGAAAAACCGTGAAAATAGGAAAAAGACCAACCACCCTTCTGCTTTCGTGAAATATGTTTATCTGTTTCCCACGTTTCATAAACATGTCCAAACATTTTATTGAAAGACATGGCAAGAATGAAACTGTATTAGATGTCAAGTACCTGCTTTTAGTTAAGGTATCTGTGTCATTAACAGCAGTGTTACTATATTTATACAGCCTCTGTTCTCAGCCCTTAAAATGAGGAAATTGGAAAAAAGCCATGTCTTTTTCTTTTATCTAACAGTGATGTGGTGACAGACTAGAATAACAGGACTAAAAATGGCGGAACACACAACAGGGAAACAGATTAACTTTACTGTAACTTATATTTTCGTGCCATTTGATGAGGACAATTTTAACTACTAAAAACCGCAGCTGTTTTTTTACTCTTCCTCTATGTTGCTTTGATTGTCTCTTCTAAGACGTGGTTTACGTTGTGATCAACTTGGCTAAAAATAAGATCGTCCCCCGATGAGACATGTTGAAATACACCTCAGCAATCAATATTCAGTGCAACACAACTTCAGTTTTTGCGCATTTGTCACAATTTAAATACTGAAATTTAGCCATCATTCCCAAACTTTTTTGCATATAAAAAATGTAAAAGCACGGCTTTTATTGGGAGTCAATTTTTGGTAGAAGCACCTTTTTGCAGCAATAGATCCTTAAGGGGGGAATTTCTTTGGTGTTTCAACAAAAAAAAAGTCAAGCTATTCAGATTTGATGAGGGAAATTTTAATTCTAGATCTGCATATGTCGGGTCACTGAACTAAAATTGAATCTAAATGTCCATCCATCTTATCATCCCCGACTAGTTTTACTGCCTCTACTGAAGAACAGAATCCCCACAGCATGATACTGCCACCATTTTGCTCCTCTATGGGGGAATCTAAGCTGAACATTTTCTATACATTTGCAGCATTATATGATGGGTTAGGTGTGGTTTTAGGGTCACTATGGCATCACCCTAATTCAGTCCAATGCAATGTAGGGAGTCAAAGGCAAGGCCCGGGCCAACGCAAGTCACTCAAGAGCTCATCTCCTTCATTCAGGGGTGTCCAAAGAGCCCATTAATGCAATGAAAGATTTACACATCAAGCTGCAGAACGGCTGCCTGATGCACATGGAGGCTGTTCTCACTTAGCTATAACCATAATTTTCTAAGAACATATTAAAATCTTTTATTATCTCTGCTTTTTATATTAGTTTCTGAGTCAACAGGACCACTTCTTTCCAGTGAATTTAAAAGCAGACTTTACTTCACCTAAATCTTATTTAAATTCATTTAAATACAGAAACTGTTTTCAAAGAGAGTGACCTAATTGCTGCTCTTATTACCTTTTTCTTTAAAAGTGCTAACGAAAAAAAAACACATTTTACATTTTGGAACTAAAATGAATTTCTAACTAAAAATAGAGTATTTTGTTTGTTTAATGAGAATATATTGTTTACTTTGTTTGTTGTTAAATAGGTAAAAAGAAAAAATCTCCTTTATAATTTTGTTGTTGATCTTCTGATTGTTTCTGTCCCACGGATATTTTTCTAACAACAGTTTAGGCCCATGCAACTTAAAGTTTGATTTAGATAAAAGCACATGACCCGACTGAAGCTCAGATCTAAATCCAGGTATGAAAGGTCTTTAAGGACTATTAAAACTCAAAAGTTTTTTTTTATTTTTTTTGCTCGACTCTGAATTGACAGAATGATAATTTGAGTAAGAGTTAAAGCGCTTTCCCACAGCAATAGACATAGAGGGCGGCGCTTAAACAAAAGTCCTATTTTCTCTGCCATAAAGGTTCTGTATTGATCTATGCTGTGGTAATGAGGTTTTGAAGGCCTGGTTGTGGCACAGAGGTAGCGCACGTGATCCATGCACGTAGGCTTCATTCGTCAATGTGGCCATCACACGTTTGAGTCCCATCCTGTTGACCTTTGCCGCATGTCTTCCTCCCTCTCTCTCTCTCTCTCTCAACCCCCTATCCTGCCTGACTATATTCAAATAAAAGTCATTAGTGCCAACAGCCGAATCAATACGAGGCTTAAAAAAGTGACTTTAAATTTATCTAAATCTGAATTGAGGAAATTTCCCTCTTTAATAAAAACCTTGCAAAAAGAATAGTCATTTCTACTCCTTTCAGAGAGGGACCAAATGTTTTCTAGGTCTAGGAAAATTTTTTCTTGAATTTATGTAAATTTTTCACAGACAGATTTCCTGTGACATTCAGACACTCTTCGGATGAAGAGTTTCCTGTTTCGTGAAGAAGCACAACCACAAATTTAAATCTGCTGATGTTCAAAACTGGTGCAGACAAACCCAGACTGACCTTCCCTTGAAGCTGCACCAGTTCTACCAGCCATAGACCCCGATGACTGTATGCTGTATATTTTTTCTGTCTAGTTGGAGTTTTCTGTCTAAGGAAACCCAGTTGATTGCATCGACTTATTAACTCGAATGCAATCCCTCACGCTAAGCATGCTTGTAGCGACAGTGGAGAGGAAAACTCCCTTTTAACAGGAAAAAAAACTCCAGCAGAACCAGGCTCAGTTTGAGCGGCCATCTGCTGAGGCTGACTGGGGTTCAAGGAGACAGGAGCAGAGATACAAAAAGCAACTATTAAAGGCGGCCCCGTCCAGGAAACACACAGCCAGGCAATAAAGCTCCAAGCCAACTCCTATGTCAGAAGATGAAAAGAGCACATCCAGCCAGTCACAGTCAGAGAAACAGGACTACACTGGAAAACAGGCCAATCTCCAACATCTATAAACAAACCCTGTGAAGTTTGCGATTGTAATGTAATAATATGTTGAAATGAAAACATGCACAAGGTGCTGCACATAAACATAAAAAATTGAGGCATTAAAATCTCATTGAACAGTGACCAGTAAGATGTTTAGTTGTGTGAATTTAAGGGGGATGCATCCTGCATATATGATGTGCAGCTTGGTTTCCGTTTCAAAGATTTAAAGTCTAACGATGTGTTTGAAATGTTTATCCATTGCAGAACTCTGATGTTTTGTGAAGACAGACACAGATTGGACAGCAGCTAATCAGATGTAAAATCATCTCACTCACCACTCAGATTGGGTCACACATGCGAGGAAAACAAAAACACATCAGATCACAAAGCACAACTAATGACTTTCACACCAACTCCTGCCAGCTCCTTATAACAGGAAATCTAAAGACACACAAAAGACAGCTGGAGTGGTGGCAGGGTGGTAGGAGGAAGAAGGATGAAGGGGGGGAGGGCGATGACACATATGTCACCAAAAACACAGATTGTGTGAGGAAGCTTTTCTCAGGGAGCCTCTTTACTGTTATTGTTACAGTGAGCAACAAATGTTTGATTCTTGATGAAACTGATTTGATTCAAGAGTTTTCTTCCTTAGAGGGAATTCTAGTTTATACGCTTTTTTTTTGTTAGCTTGTTTTTTTATTCATCATTGGAGGAATTATCTTTTCTAACTGCTCAGCAGGTTAAAGCCAAACTTTAAGGTGATTTGTAACCCAAGCACACAGCTCTCTCTTTCACATCCGCTGAACCCGAGCTCCCCCGTAACGTATGGAGGCAGAAGACACAGGCCGGTGCTTGACTAAAGCCTTCAATGCTCTTTGGTTGTCACACTTTTCCCAAACGCCTTGCAGCTGCCTCCATTGTGACCCAGGGTGGGAGGGCGGGAGGGGGGATCCTTAGCTGATTCTTTCAGCCTCCTGCTGTTACCCAGGACTCAGATGGGTTCACAGAGATGGAGTGTGGCCCAAACAATGGCTGACGCCATGACATCATGCCTCTTATTTTGGTGAAATCCTCAGATATACGATGGGATTCCGCTGCATGGAACACAGCAGGGATCAAGGCTACAAAAAAAAACACTTCTGGCTCACTTTCTGTTATTTTTTAAACCCTTTTCATGTTAAAAAACAGATACTTTTTAGCCTGATTTATTAAAGAAAATGTAAAATGTTTTATTCACCTAAATGAATCAGTGTTTAATTGTGACACCAAATCTAATAAAGCAGCTGATTAAATAAAGATAAATCTGTTTCCCTGTTGTTTTATAATCTCATAATAAAAGTTATATAACTTTCAAGTGATACATATTTAGTACTTATAAATAATAATTAGGGGTAACACACTAACTTTTTGTTAAAAAAAAATCTTTGGGATTTAAATCTCCTGAAGTTGAGCGTTTGGGAATAATTGAAAATAGTGACCAAAATAAAAATGTTTTGTTCACTCCTCAAACAAAGAGAGAAAAAAAATGTTTTCTTTTAATTTTAGATCAAGAAAATAAATAGTTTTAAATTACTTCCTGTTCCCCTGAGGTTTGATACGTGACATGCAGGCCAATCTTTCTCAGCCATTCCTCAAAACAGGAAAGATAATATATAAAATCCCCCAAAATGGATAAACGTTTGACAAAGTGGACATATTCTTAGCCTTTCTTTAAAACTGTAAGCCAAATAATCCCACCTGATTTTGTTAAAAATGTAATGAAGAGGTTTGAATTACTTTGTTTTTTGTATTTAATGCTTAATGTTCTAAAAGACAAGGGGAGGGGTTTGCATCTTCAGCTAGAGGGTTTATGGACGAAGCATTTGTTTTGAATAAATTTGAGAAAAAAATATATATCACACATCATGAAAGAGACACAAATATCTTTAACTGAGATTAACTCAGCGAGATTTATTCACATGTATAAAAAAACTCAAACATTTGTAAAAAATAGCTGTTATCAAGAAATATATTAATTTAGTTAATAAATATGTCAGAAAACAGTCAAACAGACCCACTGATTTCCCCCATTTAAGTATTTTTGTGGGGGGGGTCGTCGCAGCGCAGCAGTACACAGTACAAAAAACATGAGGTATTTTCAAAGTCGGTTTCCCCAACACGTCATGATCGTCAGTGATAGCCAGGAAGGCAAAACAAAAGGCAAAAGTTTTGGACTCTAATCGTCGACCTGTTCAGCTCCGCAACTGAACAGGAAGATTTCAATGACACATCTACCTCTAGGATAGGATACATTCATTTCTACTCATACTCTGGACAAGAGGTTGGCATTGCTTCCTTTATAAGTGAAGACACTTTAGAGGCTTTAAAAAAAAAGAAAAGCATTCCTGAGATAACTGCTAGCCCTCTTGGTTTTAGTTTAAAATGATTGTGATTATCACAAGCAGTTGCCTTCATTGAAATAAGGAATAAAAATACTCTTCTGTTTCATCTTCCTACTAAGGATGGCTTTCACATTCAGGAAGTGAAACGTAAATACTGCCTGATGGTAGTCGTCAAATCTCCCTCTGAAATGATCAGGTCAAGCTATAAAGGATTGGCCCACAGAGTCCAGAGAACCGGCACCTGTTCTGTTTGGTGATACCAGCATCACCATAAACAGACAAATGGATCAGAACCAGTTTATTTAAAAGTGCTCCCTGCAGAGTTCAAGCACAGTTTGGTTTTTGGGGGCGCTTCCGTCAGCAGCCTGGGGAGGTCGTGATGGGACTGTGGCGGAAGGCGAGCTGCCCCGATGAGGCGTGCACGGGGATCGAGACGGGAAAGTTGAACACGGTGCCGGTTTTGTTGATCGCCGGGCTTCCCGCCTCCGAGGAGCAGGTGGAGGAGGCCAGGACCTGGGACTCGAACTGGAGGAGCTGACCCATGAAGCTGAAGTTTGGGGAGATGATGCTGCGGCGCTGCTTGACAAACTCGAAGGCCTCGTCCAGCTTCACTCTGTTGGTGCGCATGAGGTAAGCAAGGCAGATGGTGGCGGAGCGGGATATGCCGGCCTGGCAGTGGACGAACACGCGACCCCCGTTATTCCTCACCGAATCTGGAGGGAGGAAAAAAGAGACAAAGATCAGAATCCCTGCAATCATTACCAAGAGGAAACACTTTCAGTTTCTTTTTAAATGCGCTCATTAGCCAACAGGAACACAGTTAATAGCTTTCCTGGGTGTGAGTCTGTGTGCGTGGGGGGTTACTCCCAAAGGAGGGGTAATGAATGGACAAAAGAGGGGAACAGACCCCTACTGGGAGTATTGAAGAGGCAGGAAGGCTGACAGTGAGTGAAGAGAAATTGCCCTTTGTTCAACCAGAACAAAAAGTGTGCTGAAAGGGGGGGTTGACTATTCAAGAACAGCCAGCCCCCCATCTACATAACAACTTTGGGGCTGCCGCTTTGCAATTCATTATTAGAAAAAAGGACATCCCTCTTTCCACGCCTCAGGGGATGCCAATGATGTAACCAGCATTATGCTGGAGCAGGGAGCCAGCTGGTTGGGTTTTGGAGGGAACATTTTTTTTTTTGTTTAAATTTCAAATCCAGCCAGTCAGAGGGAGAAAAAAAAGGGAGGGAAGAAAGGATGGGTGTTTTGTTTTGCTAGCAATCGAGGGACCTACGAGCAAAAACATCCACTCACCGATAAACTCTATCGCCTCGTTGAACCAAGAGCTGATGTCGGCTTTGTGGTTGTCCTCCACGGGGATGCTCTTGTACAGGAAGGAGTCCTCGAAGTGGTTGGGGCAGTTGGAGGAGACGTTGATCAGAGCCGTGATCCCCAGCATGTCCAGCATGTCTTTTCTGGAAGCGTGGTAAGCGCTGCCAAGATACAGGAATGGCAGGATCTCCACAGGACCTCCCTGGATTAAACAGGAAATATAAGGAAACCAATCAGTGACCTCCATATTTAAGCTTTATTTAACCAGGGGGAAAAATCCCATTGAGATACACAAGAAACATAGATACATTAAAAGAAATGATAGGTACATATCAAGTAAAACAAATACAATTTTTTCACTTTCTCCTATGCATCACAACAGGAAGTGAGAGAGAAGAGAAGGGGATTAATAAAAAAAAGAAAAAGCACAAACCTGATCATAAAGAGGTGTGTTGCATGGGCTGCAGTTTGGGTCTGCGCTCTCTGGGTTTCTGGCGCTCAGGGACAAACTCAGGCCTTGTGGGGGGGAGGCTTTGGTGCACATCTCTGGGTACTCAGAGGAAAAACTGTCAAAGCCACCTAAAAAATAAAAATAAATAAAAATACATAATGAAAAATTGCAGAGAAACACAAAAGGCTGACATTTTATTTATGAGCGACAAATGTTCCTGCGTGCTACTTCTTCACACCAGGTGACAGCTGCGCTTAAACTGTTTCTCACCTTGGAGGATAAACATGCGGACCCCACAGGGGCTGCGGCGCAGCGCGCTGACGGCCAGCAGCAGCGTCCCGTCCTTCTTGGCCTGGCTCAGCTCCGCGCTCCGCTCGTCCAGCAGCACCACGGACTGGTACTCCCCGGACAGGAGCCGGTTCCTGGTGTCCTCGTTAGGGACAATGTGCTCCAGTCCCAGCCCGCCTCTGGCTCTGCGCCGGACTATGGTGCTAAAACGCACGTTGGTCGAGCCGGGGATGTGAGAGGCGTTGAAGGAGAGGAAGGAGCGGCAGTCCAGCACCAGGCAGCCCGGGACGTTGAGCTCCAGCAGAGCCCGGAGGGACGCGCAGTCGATGGTGGGAACCTCCATTATGACCATAGTAGAACCGCGAGCCAGCAACGTTAGATCCAACAACATATAGGTTCAACGCGGCACTAATAAAACACAAACGTTTCTTAAAAAATATAAATAAACGGTCTTCGAAAAGAGTTCTTTGTTCCGGGTAGGTTCTTTAGAAAGAACCAAACCTTAAAGAAAATAAAAAAGTTTTGAGGCTGGTTCTTTTCTTTCTTGTAGAGTTCCGGGTAGTTTAGTTCCTTTTTAAAAAAAAATAAAGAATAAAAATCTTAAATATGTTCTAACTTCTGCCTGTGAGCCGTAAGGAACCTCTTTATATATCAACTGCCGAGTGAGTCTGTGAATGAGAGGACACAGACGTCAGAGGTCCGCCTCTATTGGCGTCCCGCCAACCACAGATACGTCATCACCATGGAGAGCAACAGAAAGAGGGCTCGCGCACATGCGGGACGGTTCTGCATGAACGTTCTGCACGTACGCGAGCACGCGGAGGCTGTGCCTCTCTCTCTCTCCTCCTCTCATTTGTTTGTTTGTTTGTTTTTGGTTTATCTTTTCAAGAACAATTGTACGGAAGAGAATTAGGGCCACTGAAAAAAAAATATAACAGATTTTTAAATGTAATTTCAGTCGGAATTCTGAGATTAAAATCCGAATTATGAGAAAAAAGTCAGAATTCTGACTGAAAAATAATAATTAAAATAAAAAAATCAGTCAACTTTCTTTTTTTTCCAGTGTGCAAAATCCTCTTCCATACAACTGACTTGTTGAAAACAAATGGAAAAACAAACAAGGCATTAAAGTTGCATTTAGATATTATGCTGCACATGCTGTCATTTTTTTAAACACATGAAGCCAATGCTCTGCAAAGAATCCTGAAAATGTTTAGACATTTTTTTTATTATTATCTTGACTTTTGTATGATTTATCTATGTGCTGTGATGCTATAATTATGCCAAAGGATTTTTTTTCTCAACATGCAATTAAGTGGGATTAAATTCATATTTGTATTGCAATTGTGTGTCTGTTTTAATTTATTTTTCTTTGCAATGAAATTTTTGCAGGGAGATTTCCAAAATCATGCTAAGTTCTACTCATTTCTGCAATCTGATTGTAGTCAATGACTTTTTTTTTTCAAAACCACTGCTTGTTTTCTGCATATTTAAAACATTTTTTTACTTTGGAAATATTTATTTACTTTTATTTTTGATGCAAGTTTCCATGTGTTTGTAGCATCTTATCACAATACCACAAACATTAACTCTATGATGTCATTTGCTTTTTCTAGATTAATGATTGATTAAAATCATCTGAACAACAAGATCAATTGTTTTTCTAGGTCTCTGGATATCCTCTCTGTCTTTAACATTTTATATTACCTTTTATCATACTGTAATCAAAACAATAAACAGAGTTTGCTTAAGTATGTTATTATAATCTAATAATCATTTGTTTACGGAATCTTCACAGATAGACTTATGACACTTTGTTTTAGGTTTTTACTGAAATGAATGACCTTTGGGTAAATAAAGAATTCTCCAAAATTTCCATGATGTTTAGTATTTAATTAGATTCCTATTTTGCCTCTTCAGTAGAGTTGACAAATAACAAGATAATAAGTAAATATCTGGCATGGGTGCCATAAAAGTTTATTCTTTGTTTTTATTAGTCTGTGGTACATAGTGTTCAATGTGGCAAGAGTGAAGGCTAACCATAAAAGTTAATCACGGTATAGAAATCTGAAGTCCAGTAAATTTCCAGGCGAAGAGAAACAAAATACTGGTGTACCAGAAAGACAACAGCAGATGGAGATCTCTTGACCTCTTAGTTTTGTTTCGTTGCACATATAAATGTTTCAGTCTTTCCCCAGATAGGAGAATAGATATGTTATAAGAACAAGATAAAACTGTTTGCAGTTGCTCTGGGAAACCCTTTCCATTTGTCGGTGTGGTTTGCTGACTCAGACCAGGCAACACTCTTGTCTTTAAAATACGGAAGCATGAGGATTTATTATTGACCTGTTGACAAGGGGAGGAGGGTTGAAAAACTTTGTCTGGAAAAAAAAAGTTTTGCTAAACAACAGGAAATAACTGACTGAAATGTCTTGCACTCTCTTACCCAGTGCATAATGTTAAATCTCAAAGTTTTAACCCGTGTAGTTCAGTCAAATATCAACTTCAAGGCCAGGTTCTACCTCAACCTGAAAAAGTGTGCAATCTGTAGCAAAGAAAAATGGATTTGTTATGGTACTGAGGAAGCAGGGAGGGGGGCAAGGGCCACTGAAGAGAAAGTTAACCAATCACAGCCGTGTGCAAAAACTCTCTGGCAGGTTTAACCTCACACTTCTGTGAGATGAGTCAACTCTGAGGCACACGCTACAAAGCAAGAATGTTACACATTATACATGGGAGGAGGGCCCAGAACCTCCTGAAAACAGTCTGTACCCAAACATTTTGTTCTTACAGCCAACGCGTTTTCCCCCCAGAATCAGAAACAGTTACGGTTAGAAGAGAAATGAGTGACCTGCAGTGGATCTGAACATCAGGACTTCACACAAGTCACTACTGGGGCTTTTTAGTGTCAAACAAAACATAATTTAGTATTTTTCTACTACACGTTTCCTGGACCAAACACATCTCTTGAACCATTGATTCAATCTAGAACTTGTATTTTTTTGTAATTGCAAATATTAATATTCAAATCATTGTTTAGGTGTCAGGTATGTGTATAAATACTGAAACTGAGCTCTGAAAACAAAACGTGTTGACTTTTGATTCCCTCTACTTCAGCATGTAACCAACACAAGATCAGAAAGGGAAGTGAAAATGCGGGTGACGGAAATGCATTTCCTGTGGTCAGGCCAAGCTGTAACTTGCTAACATCCCCTGTCCGTTTACTGTCATTGTCACTAGGGCAACAGTTGAGCCATCGTTGGGAAAACACAGGGCATGTACTGTATGTTATATTTGAATGACGGACTTGTAAATTTGGGACAGATAGATGTTTTGTTTTCTGGTTGTGGCGAAAATCATAGTATCTAATAAGTTTGTGGATTTTTTGTTCTGAGATATAAATTTTTTTTAAACCATAGCTTATAAATTCCTAAACTCAATATTCATCACCAAACCAAAAAAAAAATAAAAAATAATAAAATGTACATTGTATTTGATACGATCTTTAATACTAGCTACGTAGTTCTAGTAGTACATAAAAGGGCTGGCCAAAGGCACAAACATTGCTTGCAGCCAGGTTAAGGATATTTAGTTATTTATCTATCATCTGTTTGTCACTGTCTATCATTTTTTTTTTTTACCAGTGATACCCATAATTGCAAAAAGCAAATCTTGTGATTCATAATATTTACGTTGTAATCACATGCAAATCTTAACCTGCAGAAATAGCTGGATTTTGTGGGTCATCAGCTCTTGTCACATCTTTAAACCACTAAATTGCAGTAACTGACCTAGTCTTAAAACTTATTAGCCTTATCTTCTTTATGTTGATCCATAAACCAATTTTAAATTTGGACTTGGAGGACCAACGTTCAAGTTGATATGAACCAATGATCATTGGTGTAGGTGGGTGCAGTTTTTCTCTGCTGTTGAAATCCCCTCTCCAATTCTGCAAACCCCCCTCTAATATTACCTTTCCATATGACACTTTTCAGGGACATGTGACCCTGTTACCCACTGTGCTTTGGGACAAATGAATCAACTCACAGGGTGTGTTCAGATCCTGCGGCCCCAAAGGACCCGGCCTACCTAGACTGGGTTCTTCAAAGACCATGAAAATAAGTAGGCCGGAAGAGTTTGGCTGTAGAATTGAAAGGCAGAGCCTTCCCCAGCTGTCATCACCCCTCACTCATTGTAAGCTCTGTCCCCTAGCAACCATGACAGTTGACTCACAAAGCAGGCAAAGAATGGATGCCAACCTTCTCACTACTGCTCTGTGTGCTAATTCAATTTTTTTCTTTCTCTTGAGTTTTTACAGAGCTAGTGGCTCATTTTTTTATGAACAGTAGGCTGACAGGAAAGGTGGTATGAGAGTAGGGGAGTGACATGTAGGAAAGGACAACAGGCCCGATTCGAACCCAAGTCGCCCACGTCAAGGACTAAGGCCTTCATACATGGGTCGTGTGCACTAACCACCGCGCCACCAAAGCATGCCCGCTAATCACATTTTTTAAAGATTATGAGCAGCAATACCGTGGTCAGAGATTTATAGTTTTATAGTGCTTAAATGTCGGGCTATACTCGTTTTTACACCGACAGATAAAACCTCTCAAAAAAACAAACATTACCCTCAACATATCTTATTCACTAACCATTTAAATCAGCTATTCTCATTAATTTAAGATTAAATTATTCACAAAGGAGTTTTATATTAAACTGTACTTACAATATTCCTTACTGTTGTTCACCATTTCCCCTTTTCCTCTGAGCACGGAGCAGCCAGTTTGCTTGGACTCCCAATGAATGATGGGATATCCTAGGCTACTAAGCATACACTGGACTCGTACCTTCCAACCAGGTGAAAAGAAGGCTACATTTGCTGGCTGCCTACGAAGGAGCCTTTGAATCCGAAAAGGCTACATTGTCGTCCTATGACGCAATTGGTGACGAAGGACGCAGCTGCTGGGGTTGAACACAGCCACAGAAGGCTAAGGTGTCAAGACAACTCACCTGTATCCAAAATGGAGATTAGCAAAATTAGCAAAACGGGAAAGAGTTTCCATCTTAAGAAATGTGGGTTTTTGATTATTTTGATCATTTCAGATGTTTACTGATGTGTACATTTGGCTAACAAGTAACTAATGGTGACTGCATGGTATCCCATGCTGACATGTTTTGAGCTGTTGGTTCCAAAGCAAGGGTCACCAAGGGTTTAAACACTAATATAACATTTATATAAGATGAGTAAACGTTTACTACTGTAGGAAGCATAGCTTAGTGTGAGAATAGGTATCGTTTGTAATACATCGGTTTACATCTGTGGGTCGAAGTTGCATTTGTTATGTAGAAATGGTATGTGAGCGATATAATAGATATGCAGTAATTATTTTAAGACATAACATTGCAGAAGTATGCTAAATATTTGAATGCCATACCTCTTTATGTAATATAATATAATATAATATAATATAATATAATATAATATAATATAATATAATACAATATAATATAATATAATATAATATAATATGATATAATAGAATAGAATAGAATAGAATAGAATAGAATAGAATAGAATAGAATAGAANTATAATATAATATAATATAATATAATATGATATAATAGAATAGAATAGAATAGAATAGAATAGAATAGAATAGAATAGAATAGAATAGAAAATCCCTTTATTGTCCCACAATGGGGAAATTGTGGTGTTTACAACAGCAAAAAGATTATAGAAAAATATTGTCACACAAATGTGGACCATAGGAAAATGTATAAGATAATAGTGAAAAGTTAAACAATAAAATACTGTTTTGTAAAGTGTTTTAACAATACAAAACTGTGCACCTGGAGAATAAATAACCAATGTGGAGCTATGAACATTTTTACGGTAATGGATATTTGAAAATAGCGGCAACATCAGAGATGTACAAAATGACAGCAGCATGTTAAGTTAACTGACTAAGATAGAAACTGCAAAATCAGCATGAATGTAGCAACTTATTGAGGTTATTGGGAACTGTGGTGATTATAAAATCTTACAGCTGCTGGGAGGAAGGATCTGTGATAACGCTCCATGGTGCATTTAGGGTGCAGCATTCTGTCAATGAAGAAGCCCCTAGTTCTGCAACAGCTTCATGCATGGGGTGGGAGACATTATCCAACGGAGATGTTAGGATCCTTTTGTTTCCCACGTCCTGCACTGAGTCCAGAGGGCATCCAATCACAGAGCTGACAATCACCTAAAGTTTAGAAATGAGGTCGAACTGCTCATAATGGTGTTTGTATGAGGCCTGTGTCAGGTTTAAACATGGCTGACATATAAAGAGAATAGTAATCGGATTTGTGACTTATGGTAGCTTGGAGGGGCAGTTTTGGACTGGGTTTAGGGTCCTTCTTTGTGTGCGATTTTAGAGCATTTCTTAAAATCTCTCCTCTCGCCTAATAATTTCAGAAGGATGATTCATATTTTGGTTGGCTATATTTTGCAGATATTGCAGCAGCATCCGAGCACTTTTCTGAAATTTGGCAATCACTATTAAGAAACTAGGATTGCTGTCATTAAATGAGCTGTTTTTTGAGGCTTTCTCAAGTTTCTACATGCTTTTATTGGCTTTGAATCAATTTGCTGGTTAGCTGGACTAATGATGAAAATTTACTGAAACCAAAGAAATAACAAATAAGATGGCACAAATTTTTGTGGAATGCCATGGATACTATGAGAAAAAACATTAAGTGCAGCCACAAGAGAACTTCTCCTTAGACCCGAAACAACTATTTGATAGAAGAGGAACTGAGACAACCAGCTTTACCACACTGGGCAGCACATTTTAGGCCAACAAGCCAAGTAATTCCCAAATTATTATATTAAAGATGCTAAGGTCATGAAATCAGGATCATGACGAAAAGAACAAGGTCTCAGATACAAGCAGCTGGAATGAGCTTTCTCCACAGGGTCACTGTGCTCTCCCTTGGGGAGAGGCTCAGATTAGAGCTGCTACCCCTAAAAAAAAAGAAATAGGATTCAGCTCAAGTGGCTCTGACATTTTCCTCCAAAGGTGTCCCAGGCATGTCCAGGAGGAGGCCCAGGGGATGGCCCAGGGCAAGCTGGAAGGACTATTATGTCTCTGAGTTGGCATGAGAAGGCCTCAGGCCAACAGGAGATGAAGGAGGAGTCTGGGAGTATCTGCAGACCCTGCTACCCCCACAATCCATACCTGGAAAAGCAGGAAATGACAACTGTGAATGATAAATAAATCACAATGACAAAGAGGATCAGAAGAATTCAGTTCTTATATTAAAAAAACCCTGTATGATAACTGTTTCAAGGTTATATAAAATGTAAAGGTTTATTTTATAAGGTGTAGTTACCGTAATTGGATTAAGTATTTTTTTTTAAATTATACATATATTTAATTTTGCATTCAAGTATTTGTAATTCCCTTATACTGTTAATACTGTTTTCTCCATAGTTAGGTAGTTTGTGTACGGTGATATTCTGGCAATATGATTTTATGTCGTGTTTAATGTTTTAATCACTTTTTATATAAAGGTTCCACGGTTTTTCTTACATTTCTTGAATTCTTTAAACCAGTTTTAAATAATACAAGACATCAAACTACGAAAAATCTAGTTGGGTTTTGTAATCTATGCGAAATCATGAAGCATTTCTGAGCTGTGCTGTTTTTAAAATGGTTAAATAAAAAGATGCTCTCACTCTTTTTGTTATCTTTTATTTTTAATTGTTAAATAAAAGCCTAATTACCAATGACATATATTCAATCATTTGATAACTGACATTCCAACAGATAATATTGTTGCCTTATGCAAAGTATTTGATGATTTACGCTGGTGAAGACATAAAATTGTGACCTTGTCTTTTCTCAGATAATTTTTGAATGAATTTGTTTATTAGACAGTGTGATGTAATGATTTTTACATTCATATAAAGTTCAATTATATGCTTCTGGTGATGCACATGCATGCAAGCTTACATAACAAGGGATTAAAATCTAATTAACAAACCCCCAACAAAGCTCATGCAGTGAACAATGTTTAATTTGTAAATTATATATTTGGATGACTTTTAAGGATTTTAAATTTTAATATATCAATCCTAAAGCTGACAGCAATAGAAAGAGCAAAAAGCCGGTTTTTAATATAGACCTATGTCAACTTTATCATCGTTTCTTTGATAGTATCAAAGCAGCCATGGCAACTATCACAATGACGCACCCAGGCAGGAAACAGAATCAGAGCAAACCGGAAGAAGATTTCAGCCAATCAGCTTTTGCAAAGCGTCCTAAGCTGAGGTGACGTCACACCGGTTCAGATGAACAGCCGGTAGCGCTGAAGAAAGCTTGAAAAAAATCGCCTTTTGTTTGTATTTGTCCGCTAATTTCACCGCCAAACGCCCAAACATCATGCCTTTCGATGTTAGGAGGTGAGTAGGGGGCTTCTGCTCGCGTGGGTTTAGATTTAAAGGCACTGTTGGTGTTTGTAATAAGGGTGCTGGGTAATGAATTGACTGTTGAATGCAGTTAATTCATCAAACAGAAAAGGCGTCGTTACAAGAAACAAAACCTTTTTTATTCATGTGTGAGACACGACCTAAAGAATTATGACCCTGTAGTATGTTTTCTACTCTAAGAAGTGATGCTCTGGTATGCTGCTAGAGTTTTTCTCGGGTTTGCGCATGCGCAGATTTCCTCCTCCATCTAGAAGGCATGAAACCGGTTTGAATTGTAAACATCTTTAAAACAGAGTGATGCCATATTTCTATAGTGCTTTGCTTCACAACACCGAAGAGAAAATAAAATAACCCATTAATTTTGCTGATCTGGTTATACTTTGGAAACAACTAATCATAGTCACACCCAGTTTCTGTGGAAGACATCTGCTTTTTCCCCACCCTTCACAAACTTAGAATATGGTCATAGAAAAAATAAAAATAAAAGTCCAAAACCACAAAATGTATATCCCTTCACCCTCAAATGATAATAGGAATCATTAAACAACAAAAGAAAATGTTTATAACGTGCCCCATTTTCTTTTTATTTAACTGACTGACAGTGATTCACAATTTTCCTATTACTATAAACTATATTTTATTATTCCAGTGTTAATTGTCATTACATTGTCACAAGTACAGAGCAATGAAATGAAACATAAAATATGATCATATTTATTTTATTTCAAAAAGAAAAGCAAATATTTCATATACAGTTTCTCTTTTCACAGCTTTTCAGTTTATTTCAGTTTATTTCTTTAGCGCCAATTCACAACACGTCATCTCAAGGCACTTTACAGTTCACCAGATCATACAGTCAAACTGATTCAAAGTTTTCTATCTAAAGAAAACCAGTTGATTGCATTGACTTGAATGCAATCCCTCACACTAAGCATGCTTGTAGTGACAGTGGAGAGGAAAAACTTCCTTTTAACAGGAAGAAACCTCCAGCGGAACCAGGCTCAGTGTGAGCGGCCATCTGCCGAGGCCAACTGGGGTTCAAGGAGACAGAAGCAGAAGCTTTTTTAGTGTCACAAGTACAGCGCAAAGAAATTCACTCTCTGAATTTAAACCATTCCCTTGGGGAGCAGTGGGCTGCCATCGTGGTGCGCCTGGGGAGGAGTGCAGGGTTAGGGGCCTTTGCTCAGGAACCCAGTCTGTGGGAGTTAGGGTTGGGAATTGAAAAGATATTCACGATTCCGATTCCCTTTTCGATTCTATGAAACGATTCGATTCTTTATCGATTCTTTTTTAGATTCCAATTTGGGGGAAAAAGGAGAACAAACAGTTTGATTATCAGAATCAACTTTGTTTACTTAACTATTGCACAATCTTACAAACTCAACAAGATCAAGATGTCCACAGGAAATGTGAAACTGGAGTAACATCTATGTTTAAATGAAAAATAAATATACAAGAACAAACTTAATAACCAACAATGTCTAATAACAAATGATGGGATAATAACCTATTTTAAATAACAAAAAATACTAATTATAAAACAGTAGTAGGGAAAATTAACTGTTCTTTTGCAGAAAGATGAGCATATCTTCTTTTTCTGGAAGGATACAGGATCTTTCAGGGCTTATGGTGTCTCCAGCCGTGGAGAACACCCTCTCAGATGGGATGGAGAAAGCCTGCACACAGAGGTAGTTTTCAGCCAGTCCAGATAGCAAGGGCAGCGTATCTTGCTTGTTCCACCACCACAGTGTGGCGCTATCCCTGCAGGGGATGGAGGGCAAGCTTTTACAGAGCTGGATTTCCTGATCTACCCTCTGGGCTAAGGAAAGACGGGGCTTTGATTCACAAAGTGACCGCAGCTCGTTGTCTTCCTCCTCGAATAGTTCTTCCAACTTGCGTAACTTACGTAAAAAACGTGACGTAAGTCGTGCTCCCCAGAGCCGGCGCTCTAGGCTCTGGTGCTGCGGGAATCGAAAAAAGAATCGTTCAGTGAGCTGCCAAACGATGCCATGGAATCGGAAAATACGGAACCGGTTCTTAACAGGAACTGGTTTTCGATTCCCATCCCTAGTGGGAGTAGTTTCAAACTCACAACTTCAGGATTCCAAGCTCTATACCCTAACCACTAGACCACCACTCCGCCACAATAACATAATGATAGAAAAGTTAACCTACATGTAAACTTTTTTTAACCAAATAAGTATCTGTAATGTTACACAGAAAATGTATTGTGATTTTGATGCAGACCTATAGAAGAAACGCCTACTGCATCCATTGGTAGTTTATAAAAAAGACAGTTGTGCATGTTATTCTGCTTTTAGTCCTAACCCATAAGGAGATATTTGGTTTGTCTGGCCATCTGGTCCGGTTGTCAGTGGGCAAGTAAGCTTCTTAACTGGCACAGATCTTATTAACCTTTCCAAGGATTACCTTTTGATGAAAGTAATCGTAGGTTCTCCTGTAGATCTTAGGCTTTGACTGGTATGACCTTAAATGTTGTTGAGCAAAATTCTTTATTTGGGCTTTTAATTTTTTTTAATGCATGGTATACTTTATCCGCTGGCACTCAGCTTTCAAAAACAAACAAAAAAATCTAATGAAACAAAACAGCTTATCTTCCTAACTAATTTTATTTATAATTGCTGTTCAACCACTGGATCAAGAAACAATCTTTAAATCAAAAAGTCTACATCAGCGTTTGCTGTTATTAGTCACACTGTTTTTATAATTCATGGCGTTTTTCTCCCCTTTTTTTTTTTTTTTTACTTCCCAGTTTCATTGGGAAGTAATGATGATGTCAGGTTGCAGTGTCAGGGCGATGTGAGGATGAAATGGGTTGGTCACGGTCCGTTGAGTCTTAGTTGCAGCGGCAGACCGAGAGCTGGACAACTGGAAATAACTTGATCTGTTTCGAGGTGTTGCGTTCTGCACACTAACTGATAGTCATCACCGTGAGAGTGTGTAACATGCTTCATTACTGTATATTACTTCATGCAGAAGGGTAGCTTCCGAGAAACCCGCATTATGTTTTGTTTAACCACAGCAGAGGTACGATTTAACATACAGCTGACTCATTCTAAATTTGTTTCTGATTTATCGCTTGAATCCCAGAGAAAGACAACTACACTTCCACCTTATCGTGTAGACACTAGCATTCATTGTGTTTCTGTGTGGTTTTCAAAGCAAAACCCTGGAAATGATTCTCCTGTAGTAATACTTTAATCATTTAAGGAAGAGAAGGACTAAAACTGACTGATATCTCTTTATTTGACCAAAGTTTTGGTGCAGCTTTAGTATGCCACAATGTTATAAAGGTTTCAGAATGAAGCTACTCATTAAAACTATTCAGGGTAATAGAGCATGACTAATATGTTTTAAAATAAGCATCCCTTAGAAAATGTAAATTAGGATGAGCAGTATTTACAAAAAACGAATACGAAGATGCCAGGAAGCAGCTGTTCTCAAGTTTTAATTATATGCCTAAACTTGTTAGCGGATTGTTGAAAAGTAGAAAGTGTCAGGACCTTAGAAACATCATCAAACCGTACAAATATTTTTATCGCGATTGAGACTTTTATGTCGAGGGTAATTAAGGGATATCAGGAGAGCTGAATTGGTGTGTAGCATCAGAGAGGCACGTTCAACAAGCTCTTAACAACAGTCCTATTCTCCTGGGGGCTGATAATCTGATGCTGGCATGCTCCGTAACGTGGGCTGATTCGTCGCCATCTGGTCTCTGTTTGGTCAGTTTTACCAAGCAAAGGTGAGCATTAGAGAAGGGCAACAGTCTTTGATCAGTGATAGATGGAAAAATCCATGTTTTTCTAAGAAACACATCGTCACATGCATCTTAGACTTGGTCAACTTTAACCTTTACTGCGAATAAAGAAGTGACTATTTGAATTTATTAATTTACATTTTTTTCTCTACAAGCTGACGGGTATGCAAAATGCATCAGTGCACTTCAATACAATATTGTGGTGTATATTTCAGTCTTTATCCTTTATTTCTAACCCCAGGTTTTGTGCTTTTACTCAAGGCAGTAGGGCTTTGCAGTCTATTATGGGTTGTTGGCAAAAGCAATGTGGTCCAGCTTCTTAGCAGAGCTGCTAATTATATCATGTCACACCTTTCAATGCAGTGTCACTGTGTGCCATATCGACTGTTTCAATGCAGTATTTTAGAGGCCTGCCAGTAATCTTTTAACCACTTGTAAGGAATGATTTTTTTTCTATTATGCTGGAAAAAAGAGCAATTTGTAATTGTAAATAAAAAAAAAATGCATGTCATAAATCAAATTCTGAAAAAGTTCTAAATCCAAAAAATGTTTTGGGATTAACTTTGCTGTTTTCTCAGATTTTATCTTTTCAAGTTATTATTATTATCTTTTTACTTTTTTTTCCAACCCAGTGACACCTGATACAGATCTTAGTGAATAAGGAGATATGTGTTGGAACATTTTGGCTTAATCATAACATTATCATTGGCCTTTTAGACAAATCTGAGTCAGTTTAAACACAAAATCATGTATTATCTGGTTAATTATCTCAACTTATACATAAATAGAACATTGTCTAAACTGGAACATAAGTAAAACTGATCTGTTATTAAGTAATAAGTATTTTCCCCTTGTTGCTGTGTGGGGGATTGGTAGGGATCAGCCATAGGGAACCTGTTTGGGCTTGTGATAGTAGTAACAGTAGAGCACAGGGGTGTTTATTTAAGCAGATAAATAATGTCAGCTATATATATATATATATATATATATATATATATATATATATATATATATATTAGGGATGGAACGGTATATGAAAACCGTCCGAACCGTTCGGTTCGACTGTCTCAGTTCGATTCGCGTGTGTTGCGTTCGGTTCATGCGCTGCTCCTTTTTCTCATAGGCGAAGCGTGTACACTCCAGAGCAGAAGGTGGCGGTACTTCGACCAAAGCCAACCACCAGTAGTAAACAAGA